TGCTACTACTACTACAAAAAATACCAAAGTTAGTGGCGTTTTTCAAAAAACGCCACTTTTGTTTTGTTTTTTATTTTTATTATTATTATTATTATGAAATGAAATATCAATTCCACCCCCCACCCCCACCTGTGCAACACAAAAAATACCAAAGTTAGTGGCGTTTTTCAAAAAACGCCACTTTTGTTTTGTTTTTTATTTTTATTATTATTATTATTATGAAATGAAATATCAATTCCACCCCCCACCCCCACCTGTGCAACACAAAAAATACCAAAGTTAGTGGCGTTTTTCAAAAAACGCCACTTTTGTTTTGTTTTTTATTTTTATTATTATTATTATTATGAAATGAAATATCAATTCCACCCCCCACCCCCACCTGTGCAACACAAAAAATACCAAAGTTAGTGGCGTTTTTCAAAAAACGCCACTTTTGTTTTGTTTTTTATTTTTATTATTATTATTATTATGAAATGAAATATCAATTCCACCCCCCACCCCCACCTGTGCAACACAAAAAATACCAAAGTTAGTGGCGTTTTTCAAAAAACGCCACTTTTGTTTTGTTTTTTATTTTTATTATTATTATTATTATGAAATGAAATATCAATTCCACCCCCCACCCCCACCTGTGCAACACAAAAAATACCAAAGTTAGTGGCGTTTTTCAAAAAACGCCACTTTTGTTTTGTTTTTTATTTTTATTATTATTATTATTATGAAATGAAATATCAATTCCACCCCCCACCCCCACCTGTGCAACACAAAAAATACCAAAGTTAGTGGCGTTTTTCAAAAAACGCCACTTTTGTTTTGTTTTTTATTTTTATTATTATTATTATTATGAAATGAAATATCAATTCCACCCCCCACCCCCACCTGTGCAACACAAAAAATACCAAAGTTAGTGGCGTTTTTCAAAAAACGCCACTTTTGTTTTGTTTTTTATTTTTATTATTATTATTATTATGAAATGAAATATCAATTCCACCCCCCACCCCCACCTGTGCACTACAAAAAATACCAAAGTTAGTGGCGTTTTTCAAAAAACGCCACTTTTGTTTTGTTTTTTATTTTTATTATTATTATTATTATGAAATGAAATATCAATTCCAGCCCCCACCCCCACCTATGCTGCTGCTGGTGGTGGTACAAAAGAATATGAAAAAAAAATACCAAAGATGGCATTCTCTATTCATACTACAACTTTGGAAACAAAGTCAAAGAATTTAACTAATTGCACATTTCATTCACAAAATACAATCCAGGTTTTCAAAAACAGAATCCCAAAACATTAAAAACAAAGTTCACTAGAACAATTACAACAAAAATACTCAAAACAATCATCAAACAAGCCTTTATCCCGTGAAAATTGTGAAACTAAAAAGGATTATAGAACTAGCCGCCACAACCTCCCTAATCGCACCTTTAGCCGCCTCTTTCCTCCCCTGATGTTCCCTTCTTTCATGTTCTTCTGGCACTGCCTAATAAAACTCTTCTTGGATGGTTTCAGTAGGCTTCTCCACCACTTCTCCACTGCCACATTCTTGCTCTCCGGTTTCTTCTCCCTGTATGATATCAAATGATGCTATGCTCTATAAGATGTGGGAATATAACATATGAAAGTGAAATGCAACTGAAATTATCATGTGACCATAACATTATTAGCAGTGTCATTGAAAAAAAAAATTCATAGAAAAGAAGTATACAAAATGATATCATGCATGTGAGAGGAGGAAGCACACTCCAAAACTACTCTATAATTAGTTTTATTATCCTAGCATTCACTTCCCAATCAGTCTAGTTTCATTAAATTCAAACCGTTAAAAATATTCTTCTATATAATATATGTATATATGTACTACCAAAAGTCCATAGACAATACTTAGGCTATCTTAATAAAGACTTGAAAACATCTATCATCCTAATACACATACCCTTCATATATTAGAAACATCCCACTTAAACATATCCCAGTATAATCTTCTTGCATAATGTGCCAAAAGCTCACTTCTTCAGCTTGTCGCTCATTACTCAAAATTTCAACATATCCATAATTCACCAAATCCTGCCGATAAGAAAAATTAATTAGGATGTCTGTAGGAAACCTTATGATGATATATCAGAACACAAATATCAAGTCCAAGAAATGAAATTTTCCTATTTATAAGTCAAATATTCATGCATATGGAAGCTTAACACTCTGACTATCAGAAAACAGTCAAATAACAAATCACAATGAAATCTAAATCATTCAACAAAATACAAGGCTTAGTTTTTTTTTTTTTTTTTTTTTGATCAACAAAAGAAGAATTTTATTGATGAACAAACATGAAGAGGTACATCAATAAAAGCAAGCAAGCCCCAACTAGGTTGGCACTGAAAAGCAAGCACGATCATATGCTATCTCAATGCCAAGAGTTAATGAGGAACCAACTCAAAGAAGATAACAAAAGCAATCAAAACACAAGCAAGCCTCAACACAGGTTGCCAAATTGCAATGACCAAAACCAACCAATCCAGCAACAACACCCAACAAACAGCCTATCTACAGCAGGACACCATTTGAGAACAAAAAGACCACAAACTCTAATCTGCTCCAGGTTATAGATTAGATCATGAACTGAATAATGTAGACTTTTGGGTGATGATTTCATCCACATTGCAACTTTCAATTTTATCAAATCATAGAGCTCCTCCCAATTTGGTTAACCCCCCATTGAAGATGCAATCATTCCTGTGCTTCCACATTGACGAAATAAGAGCAATAGGAATGGCTCTCCACATTACTTTTTCCATCTTTTTAACTCTTAAGTCCATCCCACCATTGTAGGAGACCCTCTACAGAACCTAGTAATGGCCACTGCAGCCCCCATCATTTTTCCATGTGAGACCATACTTTCCAAATCACAGGGCAAAATAGTAGTACATGACATGTTGATTCCTCCTCTTTACAAAAAACATAAAGAACAAGTGCTGCCATTTATACCTATCCTTTTGAGAAAAACAGCAGTTTCAATCCTGCCTCTCCATGCTAACCACCCAAAGAATTGAGCTTTGGGTGGGGCAACATTATGCCACAATAGATTTGGTGATGACAGAATAGGGCCCAAAGCAGTATCACACCACTTATAAAGAAAATACACAGTGAATTCACTTGAGGAACATTCCCTCCACACAGCACAATCTTCATTATGATCAGAGCAAAGCTAGCAGATTGATCAATTCATCATCCTCCCAAACAAATAAAGCTCTTATAAAGCTAGCCACAAATATTTGAGACACATCGTTGTTAAATCTTAAATCCCTATTCTACCAACTATTTTGGGTTGAAGTCGTGACCAATTGGAAGCTTAATGTGAAAGGTTAAAGTCACGCATAGAAAATATGTCAGCGTGAACATGCCATGCAATGACCGTATGACAAACAGGTATAATTACCTACGAAGACCATAGCAATTTCACCTCACACTTTATTGAATTGATTGAAGTTACTTTCTGAGTATTGCTACTAATATTGAAGGATGTACAGACACACCACGACACCAACACCCAGGGAGGCCCTATGTTCGATATACCAGAAATTAGAATTAAGGGATTTACTTTACTATCAATCAGAAATGGATGAACTAAATGAAATTTCATGAAATTATTGAAAATATCTATGCTATAGAGAATTGCAAAAGTCTGCTACTTGTCCTGCATTTACAACCAAAAATTTTCAGGAATTTTTGGGTGCTCACACTCTAAGGGTTTGTAGCATAATAATAAGAATTGTTTTTGCAAATAAACATATCTTTGAACCCTAAATGTGTCTGGATCACTCCTGACCTTTCTCTATATGCATTCTAGCATATTAAGCTTGCAAACATTATCATGAAGAAAAAGAAATAGAAAAGCCTACATGTATTGCCACCATAAAAAAAAAAATTAAAAAAAAGGGTGGAGACAGAATAGACCTTTTCAAGGTACAATTTGTCATATCTACTTCTTCTTCTTCTTCTTCTTTTCTTTCTTTGATATGTGAACCTGCATTTGATAAGAACAAATAACATGAATAAAATGTCATATTGAAAATTTCATAATTAACTATTTACTCACTTCCTCAGACGAACGATGGCAATTAAACGAGGAGGTGTATGCATGGGATTGTTGTTGTGAATGCACATGTGTAGCAGCTGGTGCAACAGGCCCACCCATGGCCTGTTTAGACTCCAATTGCTCTATTCGTGCTTGTTGAGCTTGGATTGTGCTTTGTATCTCCATTTGTACTTTCTGTTGATTAAGCATAGCATCCATCATCTCCTTCATTTGAATCTCCATTTGTGCTTTATGTTGGTTAAGTTGCTCTTGGACTTGCGTTTGGATGATACGAGTTTGTTCTTGTGATTTCCTGTATCTGCCTCCAAAGACATCAGTCGGAGAAGGACCCAATCCATATGTTCGAACACGACTAGGTCGCTCAGGCCCTAGAACCTGTGAGATAATTTCTTCATCTGTAACATTGGATTGCGCTCCAAAATCCTTCATTTGTGTCTACAATTGTTAATTAGTAATTAGCCACCAATAAAATTCAGCCTATGAGCAAGACATAATTAGTTAATTCTCACTTCCAATTTGCAGGCACTGTTAAAGGTTATATATAATTGCTGACTACCTTATATATATGTTACTGACTTCCTTATATATATGTTAGTCGTAGATTTATGTCTTTAATTCAATAAGAGTTCAAAATTACTTGGGTTGATATCATAAACATCTTGAAGCCAGTGCTCCACTTAGTCTCTAGAGTGAGCACTTGAAATGATTTCTCAAACTAATCATAGCTGTCAATGTTCTGCAAAATGCATTATTATAATTATGGTGCTACATACCATGACCGCAGCAACTTTATTATTACTTGGTTTGTTATCCTTCGAGTACCCAGCCATCCACACCTCTAAGCGAGTTGCAGGAACTTCATTCTTCTTATCAGTTTCCTACAATTACACTTAAAATTAAGTAACAAAATCAAAATATACAATTTCAATTTGAAATATAAAGAAACTATATACCTCTACTCAAACAACTGAGAATGGTTTTCTGCCAGTTATGTGATTTAATGTCTTCTTCTTCCGAGTTTCTTTGTTTTTTGTACTTTTTTTCTGTTACATATGAGCACAAACACAAGATAATTTATTAATTAACAAACTCATCTTATGAGATTACGATAGAGATCAATAAACAATTTAAATGATACCTCTGCCTTTCGAGTGCCCCAATAATAGACTAAGCTTCGCCATTGATGCTCATTTACTCTTTCGAGTCGATAAGTTAACCTATCAGCATCATTGTTGAATGGCGTATACCCCATTTGTTTAACTCTAGCCTTTCACTCTCACCATTTTTTTCCAACAGATGCCAAAACAAATTTCTTCATTGACTCATCGGCATCTGTATTGACTTGCAAATAATTGGCAACTTTGTGACTATTGCATCACACAACAGCAAGCCCACAGTAGTAGCTAACAAATTCCTTAACCCCTTCTATATATTCTGGATGCAACCTATGCTGATTTATCCAACTTTTATCCATCTGACTTTGTCTCACACTACAAATGTCACTACCAAATCAACGAGGTTCAAAATTATCATTTCATTTTAATTATTTTTAACCTCAATTAAGTACCTCATAATGCATGCGACATAACACCATTCACCTCTAACTCTTTTCTAATAGGTTGGTTCATCCTACTTTCTCATTCAGGAATACGCATTCTATATTGTAAAAAGTAGCTCATACCGCTCTATCCATCTCTAACGAAATTTCGGCAGCATCTCTTCATGGTTCTCCAAGTACACGACATAGACTGGTGTACTGCTACACCTTGTCTAGTATGCACTCAGAGAACATGAGGAGCTACTACACGAAATCTCTATGAGATGGACTACATTTAAGCAGTAGAACTACTAATTACAACATAGACTTGTGCTCCTGAACTGTCCCAATTGGACAATCCAAGAAGAGCTTCATCAAAGATGACTAGGTATCTCTGATGAAGATTCTTGGATAGGTCTACGGCTATTTATGCATGCATGGATAATTACTTGCTAAATTAACATCTGTCATGATTTTTGCATCCCGGTGGTGCAACTTGAATAAACACTATCAAGCATACTAGAAGCATTTCTAGCATGAAGCATATTAATGAAGAAACTAAAAGTTTCTACAATGCTCTTGATAGATTATGATATAGAACTTCATCAAGATGACTAGGTATCTCTAATGAAGATTCTACAAGAACAACCAGATTATCCTGATTGATCACAAAGTAAAAAATTCCATGATTGTAGTTGATAGCACATAACAATGGCAAGTACTAGATATTAGGTATGCTTCAATTAGTTTGTTCTTGTACTCACAAGTAAGCAACAAGTTCTCACTACTACATGAACATCCACACATACCAATATATCTTAGTAGTGTTCTATTTCATTTGTATAGCACCATTTTTGTGTCCCTATCAAAGCTCAAAAAGAAAACTGTGCAGACGAGGGTAGATTTCAAATTACTTAACAAAAAATTATGATAAACATTAGAAATTCAAAATCATAATGTTACACAAAAAATATAGACCAAGTACACTTGCCAAATAGATAATTAATTGCAAACATCCAAACAATCTCATACATTGTCACTCTGAGATCCTGAGACCATCTATAGTATAAGCTATCTAATCCCAAACTATCTTGTAAATCAATTACCAACCCTCTCAAAAGTAATGAAAACAAGTAAATCTACAAAATCTTAAATTAGAGAGTTAATTGATTTGAAAACAAAGAAAGTAATGAAAAACAAACAAAACTACCAAAGAATTAATTGCTTTGAAAAATGTACCTGAGATGAAGAGCAAGATCGATCGATCTGGTTCAACTATCTGTGAAAGCAGTATATCAATTATCGCACCTCAAATAGAATATTTTGTAATACAAAAAATTAAATTGAATTTTCATGATTTATGGGGGCTTGCAATCACTTTGGTTCTTATCATTCATCCTTGTTTTACGTCTCATCAAATTAGTTTTCACTTTAATGGTAAGGTTCCATGAAACTATAATTTTTGTATCTCAATGTCAACAACTTTTGGCAGCCTGCTACAGTTGTTTTTTTTTCCATTGAACCTCATATCAACCCAGACTTGTCTACTTGTATCCTAAGTTGTATGTTGTATATTTTTGTGTGAAATGCTCCAGTCAGAACGGGCTTGGAGGGACCTGGACTCACTGTTGCTCAGAAACTTTGGTACTGTATTGCCACTGTTGGTGGTCAATATATCTGGGCCCGTTTACAATCATTTTCTGCTTTCCGTAGATGGGGTGATTTTGAGCAGGTTTTTCATTTTAATTTCATGCAACCATAATCAAATCTATCTCTCTCCTGTAAAGCAATTATATGTAGACACACTTTATGTATGTATAATATAATGAAACAACAAAAAGGATTTGATTTATCTTTCACACTTTCCAGAGGTCACTGCCACGCCGAGCTTGGATACTAATACAACATATAGAAGGAATTTTTAAAGCTGCCTCGTTTGGCAACCTGCTTATATTTCTATACACAGGAAGGTATGTTTTTTTAGCACAATTCTTTCATGGTCCTTCAAACACAGCCTGTCAGTAAATACTTAACTATGGCATTACGAATGAGGTGATAGAAATAAGTTCGATGGAGAACTCACATTCTATATTGTGTAAAGTAGTTTGTGTGTGAGAGCGGGTAAGCGCATTCTACAAGACTGAATGAATGCAAGAGAAACATGATATAATAATGTGAAATTCTGTCATATAGCGATCCCGGTTGTCCCTTTACTGTTCTGTTGTATTCCGGACATGGTTCCGTGAAGTTGGTAGTTGTATCTATCTTGTTGTCATCCTTTAATTCCGCTTGATTGAGTTTTAGGATGTTTTGGGTAGGGTGGTTACAGGTTGGTTAGGCCTTGGTTTCAATTCCTTGTTGCCCAGTTTTTAGGCGGTCCGCTCGAACGGGTCTTCTTGCGCTCGAGCGAGGATTGCACACCCCCAGTATTTCGTGTCCCTACAAAACTTCTGCATATGTGATTTTTACGCTCGAGCGGGTTTCTTTACGCTCGAGCGGGTAGCACTTTCTGGGTATAAGTTCTGGGAGAGGGAAATCTACGCTCGAGCGGACTGGTTTTCGCGCTCGAGCGGATGTGCTTTATTATTGTGTCTTGGCGCTCGAGCGGGCCTTATTGCACTCGAGCGGGCCTAGTTTTTTGTTCTTGACGCTCGAGCGTTATGTTCTCCGCTCGAGCGTAAATGTCGTATATCAGTTGGCAGTTGGGCATTTTAAAATCACTTTTTACATTCACACTCTCTCTCTTACTTTTCCAAAACACCATTTGAGAGCTTCTCTCTCTAGAACCTTGCCTTCTCTCTAGGTATTGATCTAGTTGGAGTTGTCTCCTCACCTTTGGCCTTTACAAAAAAGTTGTTGATCGTCGAGGGCTATCTTTTGATCCGAGAAACTTGTGATTTGGTGCAACTTCATTTTTATTGTCTTCTTCGTTGGGTGTCGACTTTTGAGGTAGGGATTCCTACTCACTCTTATGGTCTTTGACATAGATTTTTGATTGTTTTGATAAAGTGTTAAGGTTGGGAAATTTTGGGACTTAGGGTTTCAAAATGTGTTAAAAAGGGTTTTGTGATTTTGGGCTCATAATATGTATTTTGGGTTTCAAAATGGTGTTATTGATGTTGGTTGTTGACATACAGACCATTGGGTCAATATTGGGAAATGGGGTGGAAAACCCTAATTGGTTGTATAAATTAATTGGTATGATTAATTTGAGAAAATTGTGGTTATATAGAATTGAGTTGAAAATAATGAAATTGGTTCATTATATGGTTGAATAGTGAAGTTAGATTTATTAATCACTCACTTTTGAAAACATTGATATTTTATCTGTTGGAGCTTTTATAATCTGTTTAGAAATAATTGCTTGGGCTACCGGTGGAGGGTAGCTTTGATTGTTGTAGACAATGCATGATGATTAGGCAAACTAAAACTAATCAATTGGATATGTCATAGAGTATGACAGTTGATAGAATACATTAACATTATGTATTGATTGGCTGTGTATATGACCTTTGTGTATATACGTTATGTGTATGGGAGGAGATAGGGGATGTACTCTACGGTTTAGGGGAAGATAGGGGATGGACCTCTAAACCGGATGTTGTTTGGGAGGAGATAGGGGATGGACTCCGCTGATACAGCTCATATGCTTGTCAGATAATGTGTTGATACAGCTCATATGCTTATCTTTGGAAGTGTTGATATAGCTAATATGCATATCTGTTGAAATGTGGATACAGCTTGTATGCTTATCTGTTGAGATGTTGATACAACTAGTATGTTTATCTACTGTATAAATGGGAAATGGTTAATATGAGTCACTGTCTCATATAAGTGGTTGGTCAGGTTCTGAGCCATTGATGTAAATTGTGAGATTGATACGAAATGGAAACTGAAATGAAACATAAACATAGTGGTCATGAAATGGAAATGGATTATGAATTGGTTTATGGAAATTGAACATTTATCAATTGCTAATGTCTTAGTCATTGCTCATACTGTGTTTAGCATATCTCTACTGGGCGTTGGCTCACCCTTTATGGGACATTATTTTCAGGTACAGGTAGTATGCCACCTCCAAGGACATAGCTTGGATGATGATGAGAGTTGAAGACTCCTTTTGTTTATTTTGTTTGTATTACATGTATATCAAGCCAAGGGCATATTTTGTATAGAGTTAGTACTCTTCTTTTGTGTAACCAAGTGTTGACTTGGAAAGCTGTAAGCCCATAGGGCATTTGCTTTTGTTGTTAACATGTAATACAGTGTAAGAATTACTCTGATAAATAGAAATGGTTAGTTTCTTTTATATCAATGCATGTCTAAAGTGTTGGGTTTTATGTATTATTTTGAGGGCGTTACATGTCATGTTATAGCACTGTTTAAAAGTTTGAAGCACCGATGTGTTATTGAGTTTTGTGGATGGCTGGGTGGTAAAGGGCATATTGGCAATGTATCATCTCTGTGTTCTATCTAAAGAACAAAAGGATTATAAAGTATCATTGACCAACATTAAACCTGTAAGTCATGCCTTGAAACAACAAGCAGTTGCTTCTATAAGATAAATCTTTCAGAATTATCTTCTTTTAGTAGCTTTTTAAGTGATTAGGAATGAGGTTTTTCTTTGATTACTTGATAGCTTCTATAGTATGAGCTATCTAATCCCAAACTGTCTTGCAAATTAGAGAGTTAATTGATTTGAAAAACAAACAAAATAATGAAAAATAAACAAACCTAACAGCAGATTTGATCGATCTGGTTCTACGATCTGATCTGATCTAATCTGAAAATGAAAAAATTAGAGAGTTAATTAGCAGATTTGGCAATGAGAAAGTAGACCAACTGAGATTGATCTGGTTCAAACTCGAACACCGATTAAGAGAATGAAAATTGTACCTGAGATAAGAGCAACAAAGATCGATCTGGTTCGAGAATGATATCGATTTTGGATCTGCAATTTGATGAAGAACGGATCGAGTTTGAGTTCAAGTTCGATGAAGAGACTGATCAAATCTCTCTAGCGACAGATCGATGAAAAGCAACAGAGATCAAGAGTTCGACGAATATACAATGCAAAATCTGCAATCGAGCGAGCGAGCGAGAGAGAGAGAGAGAGTGTGTGTGTGTCTTTGATCTGGTTCGATGAATATCAGTCGAGGGCTTTGGAAGAGAGAGAGAAAGAGAGACGGCGAGAGACCGAGCTACGGAAGAGACAGAGAAAGTGAGAGACAGAAAGTGAGAAACGGAGTATGGACGGTGTCAATATATACACCCAATACGACGCCGTTCAACTGAGCTCTAAGACAACATTTTGAAAACGTTGTCTTTCATCCATCTATAATGGCGTTTCCCAAAACGCCATAAAAGAAACGTTGCAGTAGGCCATTTTTCCTGTAGTGTGTGAAAATATTAGTGATTTTTTTAAAATCACACTTTTTATTTTATTTTATTTTTTGTTATTTATGGTCTGTGTAGTGTAGGTGTATTTTTTATATTAATTATTTTCAAACTTTAGATAGCTAATACCTTCTTTATTTACAATCATGAAAAATTTGACAATTGGGATGTACCTACGACGTAGTTTAATTGTATAAATTTTATATGTATATATATTAAATATATGAAGTGATATATTACCAAACCCCTATCACTACAAGAAAAGGGGGCTTAAAAGACGGAACTTTTTGCGACGACACAACTTGTCGTCGCAAAAAATGTGACTTTTTGAGACAGCACAAATTGTCGTCGTAAAAAATGTGACTTTTTGAGACGGCACAACTTGCCGTTGTAAAAAATGTGACTTTTTTAGACGGCACAACTTGTCGTCGCCAAAAATGTGACTTTTTGAGACAGCACAAATTGTCGTCGTAAAAAATGTGACTTTTTGAGACGGCACAACTTGCCGTTGTAAAAAATGTGACTTTTTTAGACGGCACAACTTGTCGTCGCAAAAAATGTGACTTTTTGAGACAGCACAAATTGTCGTCGTAAAAAATGTGACTTTTTGAGACGGCACAACTTGCCGTTGTAAAAAATGTGACTTTTTTAGACGGCACAACTTGTCGTCGCAAAAAATGTGACTTTTTGAGACAGCACAAATTGTCGTCGTAAAAAATGTGACTTTTTGAGACGGCACAACTTGCCGTTGTAAAAAATGTGACTTTTTTAGACGGCACAACTTGTCGTCGCAAAAAATGTGACTTTTTGAGACAGCACAAATTGTCGTCGTAAAAAATGTGACTTTTTGAGACGGCACAACTTGCCGTTGTAAAAAATGTGACTTTTTTAGACGGCACAACTTGTCGTCGCAAAAAATGTGACTTTTTGAGACAGCACAAATTGTCGTCGTAAAAAATGTGACTTTTTGAGACGGCACAACTTGCCGTTGTAAAAAATGTGACTTTTTTAGACGGCACAACTTGTCGTCGCAAAAAATGTGACTTTTTGAGACAGCACAAATTGTCGTCGTAAAAAATGTGACTTTTTGAGACGGCACAACTTGCCGTTGTAAAAAATGTGACTTTTTTAGACGGCACAACTTGTCGTCGCAAAAAATGTGACTTTTTGAGACAGCACAAATTGTCGTCGTAAAAAATGTGACTTTTTGAGACGGCACAACTTGCCGTTGTAAAAAATGTGACTTTTTTAGACGGCACAACTTGTCGTCGCAAAAAATGTGACTTTTTGAGACAGCACAAATTGTCGTCGTAAGATACAGCTCATATGCTTGTCAGATAAT